TAAATATTCGACAATGTTACAGTATTTATAATAACTAGTTGGTTTGGTATTTAGCCTTGAGGCAAATACATGAACTTCCCGATATGTGTAAATAATCGACACTTGATCAAACTGTGTAAATAATATACTTCATCAATCCTACTTTAAAAAAAACGATAATAATTTTAGCAAGTTTGACGAATTTTTAAAATTAAACTACTTGTTGTAAGGACGTAATATTACAGTAAGTTCTATAAGACCATGATGTATATCGCCGAAAAAAGTTCCATGAAAAACGGCTTAAATTTTCTTTTAACAGTTAATTACAAGAAAACGGCTCCGTAGATTTTCACCTAAAATTAATCAGTACCATTCCCAGCTAATATCTTTCGAACAGTTATTGATATTTTAAAATCGGTTCGGTAGGATGAGCTTAAATGTGGACGAAAAGTTTAACACTTTTTTTCAATATTTAATTACAAGAAAACGCTCGGTAGATTTTCACCTAAAATTAATCAGCATCATTCCCAAATGATATCTTTCGAACAGTTTTTGATTTTTCAAAATCGGTTCGGTAGGAATGAGCTTAAATGTGGACGAAAATTTTAACACTTTTTTTCAACAGTTAATTACAAGAAAAACGGCTCGGTAGATTTTCACCTAAAATTAATCAGCATCATTCCCAAATGATATCTTTCGAACAGTTTTTGATTTTTCAAAATCGGTTCGGTAGGATGAGCTTAAATGTGGACGAAAATTAACACTTTTTTTCAACATTTAATTACAAGAAAACGGCTCGGTAGATTTTCACCTAAATTAATCAGCATCATTCCCAAATGATATCTTTCGAACAGTTTTTTGATTTTTCAAAATCGGTTCGGTAGGATGAGCTTAAATGTGGACGAAAATGTAACACTTTTTTTCAACATTTAATTACAAGAAAACGGCTCGGTAGATTTTCACCTAAAATTAATCAGCATCATTCCCAATGAATATCTTTCGAACAGTTTTTGATTTTTCAAAATCGGTTCGGTAGGATGAGCTTAAATGTGGACGAAAATTTAACACTTTTTTTCAACATTTAATTACAAGAAAACGGCTCGGTAGATTTTCACCTAAAATTAATCAGCATCATTCCCAAATGATATCTTTCGAACAGTTTTTGATTTTTCAAAATCGGTTCGGTAGGATGAGCTTAAATGTGGACGAAATTTAACACTTTTTTTCAACAGTTAATTACAAGAAAACGGCTCGGTAGATTTTCACCTAA